GAAGATGCAGGCTTGAGTTTTGGTGGCGTTGAATTCAACTAGGTTGTTCGTTCCCCAGGCTGTGATTTCAGCAAGATCTTCATTGACAGCATTGACCTGCCTGCGCCGTGAGTTCTTAGTTTCCTGGGAGAAAATGGGAATTCTGGAAGAGAACGCAGTATGGAGGGTACTATCATCTGCAAAGCTGTGGATGGGGCAAGTTGTTACTCCCAACAGATCATTGATATGAAGCAGGAATAATGTTGGTGCCAAAATTGATCCTTGCGGAACGCCGGAATTGATGCCAATGGTATCAGACGATACACCGTCCACCACCACGTGAAGCGATCTGCCTGAAAGAAAACTCGATAAGAGATGGCATAGCTGAGGTGGTAAGCCGTATGATGGTAGTTTGTGGAGGAGTCCTTCGTGCCAAACACGGTCGAATGCTTTCGATATGTCCAACGCGACAGCTAGAGATTCCCCGTGTTTTTCTATTGAAGATTGCCATAAATGGGTGACGTAGGCAAGTAGATCCCCAGTAGATCTTCGGTGGCGAAAGCCGTATTGTCTATCATTGATGATTCCTGAGCTCTCCAGATATTTGATAAGCTCAATATTGATGGCTTTCTCCATCACTTTGGAGATTACTGATAACAGGGCTATGGGCCTGTAGTTGTTGGGCAGGTTCTTGTTCCCTTTTTTGGGGATTGGTTGGACTCTAGCTGTCTTCCAGCATGATGGAAAAATACCCGACCTGTACGAGATGGTAAACAACTTGCAGAGAATCGGTGTCAATTCTGGTGCACATTTTTTGAGGATAATGGGTGGAATTCCATCAGGACGTTAGCCTTATTCGTTTTGAGACCAAGCAAAATTCGTCTGATAGTGCGTTGACGGAAGACGATTTCGGGCATTCGACTCTCAACGGGTGGAATGTCTGGCGGCAGTTTTCCTTGGGAATCTAAAGTAGAGTTTGCTGCGAACATCTCTGCAAAAATATTCGCTTTCTCCTGCGATGTTGTTGCTAATGTGCCGTCGGATTTGGACAGTGGTGGAAATGAACTATTAGTGAAATTCCTTCCGACCGCTTTAGCAAGGGACCAAAACGAACGGGAGCCATTGGGGCAATCTATGAGTTTCGATCTTATCTTGGCATTGTGTGTTTCTTTCGAAGCATCTATTGTTTGGCTGCAGTTATTCCTGGCATCAACGTATTCTGCTCTAGTCGCGAGGTTAGGGTTTTTGCGCCAGCGATGGTAGGCTGTTTGTTTCAAGGCAACAGTTCTAGAACAGTTTTTGTTGAACCAGGGTTTCGAAGGTGATGATCTTTTCGAAAAATGAGGTATGTATGTGTCCATTCCGAGCATGATGATCTCGGATATTTCCGCAGCACACTTTGAAGGGTCCTCAGAGTCAAAGCATACTCTATGCCAAGGAAACTCGGAGAAAAACATGCGGAGACCGTCCCAATCTCCTGAATTGTAATGCCATATAAGACGTGGGGGTGCCGGAGCAGTTGATGGAATGAAAAATGGGCAGGTTGTGGAGATGAGTGTGTGGTCAGAATTGCCAAGTGGAGCTCGTACATCTATGGTGTAGGGTGCTGAATTATTAGTGAGGAATAAGTCAAGTATGTTAGCTGAATGGTTATCGGCATCGGGAATTCGTGTGGGTTCTTTGATGAGCTGCTCTAAGCCGTGAGTGATGGCGAAAGCTTCGGCTTGTCGCCCAGCTTCATCCGTTCTGTTAGAGTGTACGAGCCAAGCAGTGTTGTGTACATTGAAATCGCCCATGATGATGATTTCTGCTGCTGGATGGTTCTGTTGAATTTGGTCAAGCTTCAGAGACAAGAATTCGAAGAGCTCTTCATAGGATGGATCATTTGGTTATAAGTAGAGACAACAAAGGTATTTGGTCTGTTTCTGGCTATCGAGTTTGAACCACATGACATCAAACTTATTTGGTTCCAAAGTTTTTTCTCGTTGACATGAGAGATTCGTTTTAGAGTAGAGGCAGAGACCTCCCTTGAATCTGAAACGTGTGGTGAGTTCGTACCCAGGACAGAGCAGATAGGTCGTATTGGTGGATGAATTGACCTGTGTCTCAGTAAGAGCCAATATGTCTGGCTTTTCAATTTGAAGGTGTCGATGGACATCGTTGATGTTCTTACTTAGACCTCGGATGTTGCATAGGTCTATCTTGAGGACTTTTTGAGCCGATGGTGAACCCCCTCTAGCACCTCTCGCCCGGAAATCCGAATGGAGAGGTATTTTACTTCCGGATAATTTCACTTGAGGAGAACTCATCATCGCGTATTCTGTATAAAAAAGGGAGGTTGGCGTGGAAGGAAAAGGAAATTGGGTTGGGTTGGGTTGGGTTGGCCGGAACATCAACCAGCTACTGAAACACGGGTAAGTATACCCATTTCACAGTGCCTATGGTTGATGTGGTGGTATCGCACCGGGCGATGGCGTTAACCATCTTCCACCTATTGGCGTCCTTTTAGTCGCCTTCTACGACAGGCAGGACTTACCGTGGGGTTATTCTAATCCGACCACCACACAGAATAGGAAAATATCGTATTCAGTAAATAATATCCTTATTTAATCGTAAAATGTTTTTATTTTCATGAATTTTATAATCATTAACATTCAGAAATCATCATTTGACACTGTCAATATTTTCTTTGAAACAATATACAAAGAGTATTGGGAACGAATAATAAATATCATTACTAGATTACTAGCTGACTTGGCAAACGTTGTTTTGCTATGCACAATATTTCTAGAAAATATTTTTCAGTTAAATATTTATCAGCACACTTTATTTATTTCATTTTCTACTTCTTTTCAGTTCAACTATTCATGAAAGCGTACATCTTTAGTTTTTCAAGGCAAGGTACTATTCATTTTATACTCGTTTTCATCTCGGCAATCCATCTCTTCAGTTTTTTAAACTACTATATATATAATTCATGTTCTACTTCTTCTTATTTCGACTAAGTATCTACGAACGCGTGTTCAATTGATTTTTCAAACAACTATTTATTACAAAGCTCGTTCGCCATATTGGATCCGCCATCATGAATACCTATCCCAATTTTGACAAAGAATCATAAAGTTCGACCCCGGAAACCTCCAGATACCAAACTTTAATATAATCAGATCATGAATAGGAATGTCTTTCGCCATATTCGATCCGTCATCCTGAATTTTAGAATTTTCACGAAACAATCATTATCTCCTACCCGAAAACCCCCAGATACCAATTTTGAATAGAATCGGATCATAATTACAAAATTCGATCCCCATATGATCTTCCTCAACAAGTAAATACCCTGTACATACCTATTATTAAAATTTTGAATTATTTTCGGTAGCGCCCATGGACGTGACCTGACAGCAATGTCAGGGATGCTCAGATGCCTGTAGACAAAAAGTCTCTAGATCATCAAAAAAGAATGCAGCTATGAATGCTATGATTGCTAACTTTGGTCCCATTTTTGTTGAGATATCATATAGGCGATGCGCCATATATAGAAATAGTACATATGAGTTTGTGCCAGTGAACACTATTTTTGAATTCAGAAGTGTCAAATTCAACGATATTATTATTATCATTATTATTAACGCTTATCATTGATGTAAAGAAATGTTGTTAAAATGAGTATAATATGATTTAAAATTCAATTTCCAAAATACTAAAGGTTATCAGTCAATGACGTTTATGACATGTCACATCATTATAACATCGAAAATAGTTCAGTGACGCAGACTAGATGCAATGAACTCAATATAAAAGGCTTATATTGAGTTCATTCACTTTCATTGACTAGATGACTAGATGACAGACTAGAGACAAGGAAAGATTCAACGGATTTCAATGCGGCCACGTCGAAGAGAAAGATGGAAGAGGTGAGATAGCTGTTTTTTCTTGTTGAACCGTGTTCAAGATTAGTTTTGAACCGTTTTCAAGCGTGACATAGTGATTTATCTCATTCAAGAAAACAGACTATTTCGAAATTGAAGCTGTCATAAGTCAGATACATAACACATAACCTAAAAACCAAAATCAATAATTGAATTTTAAAATTGATGATTATCTGTGAGAACTTGAGAAGTGTAGAAGAATGGAATCACTTATAGTGGATTTTTCAATTGATAATCAGCAGATGTGGCAGGGTGTTTGTCTTTCACAAATGTTGAACCAGTCCAGAGAAATAGATAATAATCTGGAAATGATTATTCTTTTTGAAAATTTCCAGAATCCTTGAGTGGAAAATTATGCACCATTTTTTGAGCTATATAGCCAATTTCTCAAAAATAATATTCATAACCTAAAACGCTCAAACCATCGAACTTCCGACGTTTTCCCACTCCTCCAATGGTTTTCCTGGTTCGAACACGGTTCGAACCGTTCATTTAGATGTTTTTGAACCGCAATGAACCGTATTACTTGGTGACGTCATAAACTGCACAAGAAAATGCTTGATTTCAAATGGTTTTAAACACGGTTCAACAAGAAAAAACAACCCAAATATGTACTATTTCTATATATGGCTCAACAACAAAATAAGGACCAGAATGAGAGGTACTTTTTGAATCTATAAGGACATAAGGACGGAAAGTGAAGGATGGAAACAGCCATATTGGTTTGACAAGTTTCGTATTATTCTTTCCCTACGTCGGCATCAACGCCTATTGGTCGATTTCGTTACCTATAAAGACAGAAGTTGGTCCCGCTTTGAGGACAGCTATGATTCATATATGAGTAGTAGCATAGTAGCATGATGAAAATAGACAGTAGAGGCAAGTAGAGGAGAGAACATTCCCCTCTCTTGGTCAAGGTGGAAAAGAGCTCAGCCTGTCGCGATAGAAAATATTGAGAAAATATAACGCGTCGCCCCACCTGACGGCAACAGCTTGAACACTTTTGACTCTTCTGAGCTCTGTAAAATTGAATGACAAGTGACAATAACTTAGTTCTGTGGTTTCCTTCATTTCATCTTTCATCATATCAACTGTCAAGTGAAACTGAAACAAACGATTGTTTTATTTGTTTTTCAATTGTTTGGAAGCGGGTGGAGTCGTTTTGTAGTTGGAATAAAATAGCAACAAGTGTCTGGATAAAAATTGGAAATATGGGTTGTGCGGTTAGTACAACGAATGAAAAAATTGCCTTGGCTAGATCCAAGAAAATTGATCGGATTCTACGAGCAGCTGGAGAAAGAGCAGCGAGTGAAGTCAAACTTTTACTACTTGGTAAGACAATCAGGATCGTTCATTCTGTTTATGGTAAATTTTTCATAATTTTTTAGGTGCCGGAGAATCTGGGAAGAGTACCATTGTAAAACAGATGAAAATCATTCATGAATTAGGCTATTCTACAGAAGAATGTGAGCAATATAGGCCTGTTGTATATAGTAACACAATTCAAAGTTTGATGGCTATAATTCGTGCAATGGGACAATTGAGGATAGATTTTGCTGAACCTACAAAAGCAGTAAGTACCTAGATGATCATATTTCATTCTAAATTCCAAATAACTTCACCACTACTACAAGTTTTGTTATTCAACAATGAGTTACAAAATCAATTTAATAAAGGTGGTCATGTACCAAAGTAAACATTTGTTTAATCAACTGTAAACATTCAGGTTCCTGGTATGCTTATCATCCCATTAACTCTCTCCCATTCCATCAATGAATCATAATTATGTGAGCCTGAATATGTGAGCATAGTATAAATAATGGTATGTGAATTGCCCAGCTCATGGGAAATAATGCAATCATTGATTATTCAGACATTATATAGATGTGCTGGATGTATTAAACACCAAACAGATTATTCAAATTTGAGTCACATTCATTGCTATAGGGAACAAAATTGTTCATGAAATTATATCTAGATTTAAGTTGGATTCATACAATATAAATTTATTCAACTTGAAAGGACAAAAATAAATTCTGGTGAAGTACCTATTCCTACTAGAAAGTATTGAATACCAGCCATTGTATGGCTATTTACAATTTATCTATTCTCTGGGTGATTCTCCAGAGTTGCTCACCCCTATAACTTTTTCATTATTGAACATAGAAAATTTTGAGGGCTGTGTATCATACTTCAATTCACATTTTTTGCCATATGTACTTGCTTCACCATACTTCCAGTTTGACCAGAAACTGAACAGGAAATAACACCAACTTTCAATTTTTAAAAGGGACATTCTATATATTACTTATTTAGATCCAGAATAAAATTAAAATTATTTATAGGGAAATGATATTTTACAAGATGCCAAGGAGCCACACCCTTTCCATTTGAAAAAATAAGTTAACTGGATAAATTCAATTTGTGACTTTTCAAAAATTATACCTCCAGTTATACTTATAGTGACTGTGAAGTCATAAGACTCAAAGTCATATTCTTCCCATGTTACTTGATCAAGAATGAAGTGATTCACACAGTCCATGGCATTCTAGATTGAAAAATGAATAATTGGAATAAATAGTTCTTTATCCATTATTCATGCACCAAGGACAAGAAACTGTCTATTATAGTCCAGTCTACAGATTGATAGCCGAGGCCCAGCCGAGGATGGCAAACAAAGGAGACAATAGACAGTCTTTTGCTAAGGTGCATTTTTTTTGTTGACTTGGACCTATTTTATCCACACACCTGGGTCTTATTCTCACTAACAATCTATTGGTTTTCCTAAATAATTAATTCGAGAATAGCAAATGACAGTTGACAGTTGTCAACTCAATCGCCGGTCTCACACCATGGCCTATCTGGTGACCACAGCAGATGAAAAGTAAGTTTGAAATGGATGAAAAGTAAGTGTCTGCCTATAATAAGTACTTGCCTTTAACCTCCCACTACTAGTGAATTTCTGTGACATGAATACTAACGTTGGACTCATAGACCGCTTATCAGTATTCATTGAAAAAATAATAAAAACCATGCATAACTTGACCACTCTTGAGAAAAATGTATGGAGGCATTCAATGTTAGTATATCTTATCCTTAAGAAGGTAGCAAAGCCACTCATGAACTTCAACATGAGACAAATCTCATAATTTTAGGCTCATTTTAGGCTAGTTTATTACTCCATTCCCGAATTGTATGCTCCTCATATCATAGAAAAATCAGTGGCTTTGCTAGCTTCTGCTGAATTCAGCAAAGCCATTTTTGAAATACAATAGTTCTTGATGATAAGATGTAGTGAAAATGTAGTGCTTATTTTAGGTTAATTTATTACCGTAGTCCCAATTTGTTTGCTTCTCTCTATCATAGAAAAACCTGTGGCTTCTGGCCAACTCAGCAGAGCCATTTTTTAAAACATTGATATTTCACTGATTTGATATATTGAGATTGAATGGCTAATATTAGGCTAATTAATTAACCTATCTTCGAAATTTTTGCTTCACAATTTTAGAAAAAAAAAAACGAAACGATTTGTGAAAATACACACTATTCACTAGGTATTATGCATTTCTATCAAAAGCATATTCTATGACGATTTTATGAGGCAAAGCAATGGATTGTAGGATCAATGGCTATCCCATTTTGGAATTCTTTGGTGCATATTTTTTGTCAGTCATAAATGATTTCCATGCTCTTGGTATGTGTTACATGAGATATGGAACATAATAATAATAATAATTAGGGATGCACCGGAATTCCGGCGGTACCACTAAATCCGGCCGATCCGGCCAGTTGGCCGGAACTACCGTAATAATCATGTCAGATCCATCGCAAAAGCTGCTTCACAAAAACTCGGATTCTTGTTCCGTGCGAAAAGCTACTTTCCACCTCAACAGCTTCTCATGATCTTCAAAGCGCAGATTCGGCCTGTTCTAGAATACTGTTCCCACATATGGGGTTCAGCACCAAAACATACGCTGATGCTCTTAGATTCCATCCAGAGAAGAGCCATTCGCCTGGTGGGTGACGCCACACTCACTCACTCTTTGACATCATTGGAACACCGTAGAAAGGTCGGCGACCTTTCACTTTTCTATCGATACTTCCACGGGAAATGTTCTTCGGAAATCTCTGCTATCATCCTTTCACTAGCAATACCAATCAGACGAACTAGACAAGCCCAGTCAGCACATCCTTTCGTTGTCAACCTCGAAAGATGTCGAACAGCACTTTATCAAGACTCCTTCATCCATAGAACGGCTAGGCTCTGGAATTCATTGCCTGTGGAAGTATTCCCAACAACATATAATCTCCAAAAGTTCAAAAAAAATTCCAATACCTACCTCCTGTCCCTATCCTCTCTAGGAACGCACGATGTTCTTCGAACATTATAGGGATTCCCTTTCGTGCGCTCCAAGCGATAAAAAAAAAACCGGCCGGATCGCTCCAACCTGATCGCTTTCCGGCTGGAATTTTCGGAACTTTTTGGAAATGTTTAAGTTTTAAATTTTTAAAATAATTCAAGTTCAAATATATGCAAAAAAAAGAAAATTATTTCAAGGTTTGTTAATTGGTGCCTACTTACCTATTGTTAAGTCGTTAATTAATCACAAATATTTTTTTGAACAACATAATAATATATTTTCTTTCCAAAAATTACAAAACATAAATTGTAACTGAAAACATTATTAACAGCCAAATTCTAACATCAAAAATAACAGCCAAATTCCCAGTCATGGATGAGTCTTATAAGATAAGTTTACATAAAAAATCAGAGTGAGAAACTTAAAACTTAGTATTCATAATTTATTTTATTAAGATTATGGTGAATAAATAGAGCTTTTCGGCATTTTCAGAGTTAAGCCTACACCTATTATCAACAAATATATCACCAATTTCTGAAAATAGTCCCTCTGAATAGACACTAGTTGCTGGGTTCCCCGACTCTTTTTATTTTTTTTATTATTGGCAGGTGGTTGCTATTCTCCAATTGAATGAGTGGAATTGCTTTAATTTTGTTAATGCTGATTAAAAATTAATATTTAAATAAACAGTAATTTCTATCTAGGTAAAATTGATGGTAATTAACACTCTGCATACTGTAGCTAGTTTAAAAAAAAAATAAAAATAAATCGGCCTCAATATTTTCAATGTTTTACGTATAGAAATAGGCATGCACATACATTTATAATTTAGGTCCCGATGCGGCCCGAACTCCGGCGATCCGGTCCGGATCGACAAAATATCCGATCCGGTGCATCCCTAATAATAATAATAAGAGTTGGAATCTTTCATGCAAGTAGCAAAATTGTTGGTTTTATAAGACATCCTACTTAGATGACAAAAAAATAAAAGACTTATTAAATGTCAAAATCTAGTCTATCTGATACGTTTTCTTTGATTATATCAAAATAAACATGGATCAGAATTGAAATAGTATTACACAATGGATATTCCTCGGGATATTCATGAATAGGTTGGTTATCAATTATTTTTAAACAATAATCTAGTTGTCAAAATTCATAGCTCATGTATCAAATTTGGAACAAGAAAGGTATCTTAAAATGTAGCCAAGTAGGTATATCAGGTAAATACTTATATCACTCAAATTTGATACATACTGGGTTATTCTCTAAGGTGGCTTACCCCTCGGCTCTCCCCTATAATTTTTTAATAATTGAAGGTACAAAAACTACATTTGGGTATTGTGTATCACAGTTCAATTTAATTTTTTTACGTATTTACTTGCCGTACTTCCGGTCTGACCGGAAACGACCCAACTTTCGATTTTTGAATGTGACATCCTTTATATTTTCACTCATTTCGATCAAGAATGGCATTCTTAATCCAATAATCCATCAATCTTTGATGAATAAATCCATTTCTTCACCAGCCTTTACACAAAAAATTACATTTTACATACTAATTTACAAATGAAAAATCGACAATTTTTAATGTTCCCTTGCTAACGTGTGGACTATGAGTCCGCAAAGCCGAAAATTATCCGGTATTTAGTTTAGTTATTTAGTGTTAATATGTTAATTTTTTTAAGGTGAATATTTTTAATCTCGTTTTTAATTGATATCTGCTTTCTGCACGACTTTTTTTCTCCTGTCTATCATAGAAAACCAGTGGCTTTGCTAGCTTCGGGCGAACTCAGCAGATCCATTTTTGAAAACATTAATTTTTCACCGATTTGCGATATTGAAATTGAATAGCTAATTGTAAGCTAATTAATTACCCTATTTTGAAAATTTTCGCTCGACAATTGTAGAAAAAAAAAAGAAACGATTTGTCGAAATACACACTCTTACACACTATTCACTAGGCATTATGCATTTCTATCAATAGCATATTTCATGACGATTTTATGAGGCAAAGCAATAGTATTGATTGTAGGCTCAATAACTATCCCATTTTGGAATTATTTGCTGCATATTTTTTAAAAGAATCCGGTGGCTTCGGACGAACTCAGCGTAGTCATTTTCGAAAACAATATATTTTTCACCGATTTGATATATCTGCATTGAAAGGGGCTTCGGACGAACTCAGCGTAGTCATTTTCGAAAACAATATATTTTTCACCGATTTGATATATCTGCATTGAAAGGCTAATTTCAGGTTAATTGATTACCCTATTTTAGAATTTTTTGATCAAAGTTTCGAAAAAAAATTTCTATCAAAAGAATATTTTATGATTATTTTATGAGGCAAAGCAATGGTATTAAATCGTCATGAAATATGCATTTGATAAAAATGCATAATTTATACTGCCATTATGCATTTCTATCAAATGCATATTACATGATGATTTTATACTATTGCTTTCCCTCATAATCATAAAATGTTCTTTTGATAGAAATGCATAATGTAAAGTGAATAACGGGTATTTCGACAAATCGTTTCGTTTTTTTTTTGTTTGAAAAGTTGAGCGAAAAATTCTAAGATAGAGTAATTAATTAGCCTAAAATTAACCATTTGATTCCAATATTCAAATCAGTAAAAAATATATTCTTTTCAAAATTGACCCTGCTAAGTTTGCCCGAAACTAGTAAATCGACATGTTTCTTTTAAAAAATATTCAGCAAAATATTCCGAAATGTGAGTTATTGAGCTTAAAATCAATACTAATGCTTTGCCTCATAAAATCGTCATAGAATATGAGATGTGTCTCATGTCGAAATTCATGAGTGGTTTAGCTAGCTTCTTTAGTATGCACATAGATTGCATATTTTTACATCTTAAACGTAAATTGTTGTGATCTTGAAACTATTCATCATCATCCTGCAAACTCGAGTCGTCTCAGTCTCAATATCGTTTTAGAGTTTGCGGAGATATTTTTTTTCGTAATTCACTTCAAGCACTGTAGAATTAACAATCTGCAGAAATCTATTGAAAATATTTACCTTAAAAAAATTAACATATTAACACTAAATGTGCGGAGTGAGAGTCCGCATAAGAGCTTAACTTGAACACGCAGCAACCTGTTCTGTTTGACTTAGCCGTACAGCTGCCTACTCGGAATAGTTCGTTAAATACCAGTTGATTTTCGGCGGTGCGGACTCACAGTGATTAGTTATGTTATACTTATGGATTTCTATATAATTATACCTACTCAGCTACACTTCAAGATACTTTTCTTCTTCAAAATTTCATACATGAGCTCTAGGAATTTCACAACTAGATTATTGTTGATTAATAATGATTGTTAACTACTCTTTTCATGAGTACTATTTCAATTCTGATTCATGTTCATTTTGAAATAAACAAAAAAGACTTAATCAGATGAACTAGATTTTAGCACTGAATAATTAGTCTATTATTTTTTTGTCATCTAAGTAGAATGTCTTATATAACCAACAATTTTGCTACTTGCATGAAAGATTCCAACTTTTATTATTATTATTATTATGTTCCATATTTCACGAGATATTTCATGTAACACATACCAAGAGGATGGAAATCATTTATCACTGATAAGCAATATTAAGTGAGCCAATATTAGTTTATTCATCATATTCAGTATTATTTATACACCTGTTAATAGCATTATCATTCAATATACAGGGTTTTTTCTGAATTGGAGCGATGATTTAAATGGGTAATAGAAAAGAGACTAAATAAAAATACATTTTTGTGTGGAAATATATAAAGTGTGACCCATTTGAAAGCGGACCACCTTCATACATTTTTTATATATGAAACGATTTTCACGAATTTTTTTTTTGAAATGTTAAGGGAGGAAAGGTATATTTTGGAGCTAAGCGGAGTCCACTTCTTTTAAAACCAAGGCCTAGTATATCACATTCAGAGGCTGAAAAATCCAGGATCCATATTAGCGATTTCTTTATCAGAAAACATCGATCCACATCGATCACATTCAGAGGCTGAAAAATCCAGAATCCATATTAGCGATTTCTTCATCAGAAAACATCGATCCACATAGGCCACTGGAATCGGCGTCCTCTGAAATAGATCTGTAGCAAGTTTCATGAAAAAATATTCAACATTAACGATTCTACAGCGTGTCTCATTTGAAACGGCCCCGCTTCTATATCTCAGCTATTAGTCGCGCGATTCGTACCAAATTTGGACTAGTATGAGTAACCATCAATATGATCAGTTTTTCAAAGACGAACATCATTTTGAACAGTGCCGTGCTTTTCATTGAAATAAAAAGGGGTCGATTTATATGAAATCATAATAGGAAAGGAAGTACTTTTGAAATGCTTTTGAATGATCTTGAATTAGGTACATGAATAGATAACTTACGAAAAGGCTAATGGAATGAAATCCCTTGAGGAAAATAGAATATTCAAACATGGAGATTTTGCAAAAGGAATTTGGCTATGACAACTGGCGCATCATCTGTGTCACATTCATTGAACATATTATGTATCTCCCTAGTATAGTTCGTTTTAAGTTATAAGTTATAACCCTATTGAACGGGGTATTGTTGAATTCCTAGTGTCAATCTCGATTGTAGTATGAAATTGTATTTCTACTCAACATTTGATTATATAAAGTGTATAAATTCTCAATAAAATATCATTTCAAATGCTCATTATTTGAATTCTCAAATTGGATCAGAAATAACTAAATTTTAGTGGAGAGCATTTGAAGTGAATCAATGTATCCAATGCGATTCGAGTTTTTACAATAGATACTCAACATTTTTCTTAAATTTTCAACCCTCACAGAAAGAAATTGGAACATTCCTGATGTCGTGATTTCTATTCACTTTCGGACGTACATCTAGGACAAAAGATGCAAATTTTGGATTGCGATTAAAAGAGCGTATATCTATCTAGCTTGAAAGGAGCAACTAGAAAATGATTACTACATTCCCAAAATACTCTCCTATTAACACACAACAACCCCAAATTATTTTATAAGAAATCCTGTGTAATGTTCCATAAGTGGTTAGGGATTCCATAGACGATTAGGGATCGTTTTTATTTGTCAAATGGACAGATAATATTATATAATTTTGATATATGGTGGTTCTAGCTCCAGCAAACACAGTTACATCAAAGAGATATCGCAGCGATGTAACAATTGTGACCTGCGATATCGCATTCTATGTCGCATAGACAGCGCTGCCATGTCATAGGGACGTTATTTTATCCCACTCAAGTTTGTTATTTGTTAAGGAAAAGCTTCACTTTGTTGAGTAACGTATATTCATGTATTCTTTTCCACCAAACAAGATTCAAAATAACAGATTTTTGAAAAATTCTCGCCTATGAGCTTGTTTTTGTACATAGCAGGGAAGCAATTTTCCTGATATTGGCGCGAAATCTCACCCAGCTAACAATTTCGGTCGTTATTACGTCGGCCCAAAACCTGCTTGCCAGAAGTTGCCGACGCGGCAAAAGAGCGGCAAACGACGTCGGTCAGACGTCAATAGATCACTCTGGCCGACGGCCGAGCAAATGTCTGTATACCGTCAGACCTAAAATTAAAAAAAGAAGTGACCGGTCGCCGCGTTCGAACCTGCGACCTTTGATTACTTTGGATCTTACTAACTGAGCCATTTTCATTTCTTGTTTGATATTGACTACGGATGACTTATGAGTACTATCAATGAATACTTATAATAATCATATCATTAACAGAGAGGACAACGATTTCTAATTCTCCGATAAAGTAGACGAGTTCCTGTGACTCACCTGAGTTTGTTTTGAATTTCTTAGTGAAATATGATGACTCCATTAGGTGGTAGGTTTATTTACCTTTCAGCGAGCAAATATCGGATACCTACGTATACAACGGAATGTTGAAGAACGAAAAATAATATAATAGGTAGCACTAGAAGATGATGAAGATATACGTACCTATTTCATTATAGATAACAGTGTTGAAAGTGGGGACAGTTCATTTGTCAACATTCAACAATTAGGTATACTTAATTCACCTACTATCTACGTTAGAAAACTATTATTAATCATAGAGTTTGCAGAAAAAATATTCCATTATTTACAATCGTCATATATTATCTACTAACTAATCGAGTGTTTCCCAATATTACGTTTTGAATTTTTTCATCATGAAGTATATATTTTTTCATAGAAATTACACAGAGGAGTGGGCTGATCTGTAGGTAATATCATAAAGCGCGGATGCCTTTTATTATCCCGGTGTCGGCTGGATTACAGTTGAATGATTTCAATATACCATGCAAAGGACCGATGTTTAGACGACGTAGTGAAATGGCATCACGATTTAATACTACTGGTCCAGTGCTGGCTGGATTATGGATAAATGATTACAATATACCATACAATGGGCCGACGTTCGCCCGTTGCAGCTCTCAGCCGTTGACAGCACTCTGCCGACTGATCATGCATTGGGCCAGAAGGCGGCCAGAGATTCGATGTTTGCTGGGCAGAGATGTCATGTCTCAGATGTGTTTGCTTCTGTACATCACAGCGATGGAACATTCGTGATATCGCATTGTTGCCTCATCATGACATCTCAGAGATGTCATGTTGCAGATGTTTTTGCTTCTGTACATCGCAGCAATGGATCATTCGTAATATCGCAGTATTGCCTCATCGGACATCGCAGAGATGTCATGTCGCAGATGTGTTTGCTTATGGACATCGCAGCGATGGAACGTTTGTGATATTGTAATGTGACCTAAACGCAACATCTCAGAGATGTCATGGCACAGATGTTAGCTGGTGTTCCCCCTAGCTCCATGATATTTGTGTAAAACGACGTTTTTTCAACTGTATTTCGCAAGATATTCATATTCTTTATTAAGTGATATGATAGAAGGGGTTGTTACTATAATCCACTCAAAACTTTTTTTTTTCAAGGATATTGCAAGGCAGTTCTTCACTTATGCCAGTGCTGCAGAGGAGGGTGAACTCACCCCTGAACTAGTTATGCTTATGTCAAAATTGTGGCAAGACCCCGGTGTCCAATTATGTTTTGCTAGATCAAGAGAGTATCAGTTGAATGACTCTGCAGCTTACTACCTGAATGCGTTAGACAGAATATCCCAGCCAAATTATATACCATCCCAGCAAGATGTTTTACGCACTAGGGTCAAGACTACTGGAATTGTAGAGACTAACTTTTCTTTCAAAAATCTGCATTTCAAGTATGTTCATTTCCTTACATTTTTGTGCTGTGTATTTGAGCATCTTAGCCAAAATCATGAAAGTAAAGTCTTAGGTCTGAAAATGTCACAGTTCTGTATTTTCACTTCCTTGAATATGCAGTGACCTCCATAAATTATGAAGCATATAAACTATAATAAAATAACTCGTTATGCCTTCAAGAGATGATTACCATAAAAATTCAACTTATAGGAAGAATTATAAAACTTTCATTTTTCTCTGCAAAAATCATGATGGTGACCATTGTTCCTGATTGTTCTGGAATAAAAAATCACCAAGTATTGTCGATATTGTTGAGATGATGAAGGAAGTTCTGGAGAGAATATATCCTCATAGCTTATTCATTTCTCTTTTTTTTAAATCTCTGTATGCCCATGAATTCATCACCCCTCAAACGAGTCTGTGCTATATTTTATTTGAACCTTTTTTTTTTCAGTGATAATATCTATAAAGCAAAATTTTAATTGAACAATACTAAACATTACCATACATTTTATTTCAATTATTATCTTTGAAGATAACAAAACAAACCCAAAATCTATGGGCTAGGATATTGCAAAACACCATCAGCCTGTGCGAAAATTAATCAATATACTCATTATGTTGATAGAAAAGTAGAAAAGGTAACTAGGTATATGAACTTAATAGGAAGTAAAATTAGAATGGAGTATCTTGTAGTTTTCTTTCATGTTTATGTTAATTTCTCCTTCATTTATTTATATCATAGTTTCATTTTATTTCAATGATACTCATGGGTAATAAGATTTTTAGAACAAATCGTAGAGTTTGCTGCAAGAAGAATGAATTCCATTATTGGTTATTGTTGGGAAATTGCGAAAAAACTGATTCAAAACGAGATTTTCTTTGAAACTGAAAAAAAATGCCAATCGATAATATAGTGGTATAGTTGATGTTTGTGACTCCTAAAGCTCAATCAGTACAAATGATTTGACAGGAAAGACCAAATTTTCTGAAACATATAACAATATCCATATTCTACATACTCCTAAAAATATCCATATGCTACATACTTTTTGCTGGAAACTGAAAATACACAGGAAGGATGTGATATTTTCAAACTCTTATTTTTGGAACCTCAATTAGGAAAAATTGGAGTTAACTCTGATCTTATGTTTACAGGATGTTTGATGTCGGCGGTCAACGGTCTGAAAGAAAAAAATGGATACACTGTTTTGAAGGGGTTACTGCAATCATATTTTGTGTAGCATTGTCAGGTAAGGTACCCAACTTTATAAATAAGAACAGATTCTCAGTTTCCCCCTGTACTGCAGGTTATGACTTGGTTCTTGCCGAAGATGAAGAAATGAACAGAATGGTAGAATCCATGAAACTTTTCGACTCAATTTGTAACAGTAAGTGGTTCGTCACAACTTCCATCATTCTCTTTCTGAACAAGAAAGATTTGTTTGAGGAAAAAATTGCTCGTAGTCCATTGACAATCTGTTTTCCTGAATATACAGGCCCCAATACATATGAAGACGCTTCTGCTTATATAAGAATGAAATTTGAGAATTTGAATAAGAGAAAAGATCAGAAAGAGATTTACACACATTTCACTTGTGCAACTGACACAAATAACATTCAATTTGTATTCGACGCTGTCACTGATGTTATTATCAAAAATAATTTGAAAGATTGTGGTTTGCTTATGTGAACCATTTAATGGATTCAGTTTCTCAATCAAGATTAAGCTTCCCAGAAAAGAAACTACATTTATTATAGTTTTTTTGAGTTTATGAAAACATTTTGAATGTATTGAAAAGTCTAATCATTATCATGAAAGGTTGTGTATATAGATGTTATTTGTAGACCATACTTTTTCTAGGAACATTTCAAAGAATAAGTATACAGAGTTATGAAAATACAATGGTTATAGTACATTGTGAATAACCTTGAAAATATTTTGTTCTCACTAGTTCAGTGATGGTGGGCTTTAATGTTTTTCAAATTTTTTGTTCGAAATTTCATAATTTCCAAATTGTCTCAATATTGCAATAGTTCTGATATGATGCAGTGTGTCTATAGATGACTTTCCCAAGTCAACCAGTGAATATTTATTCAACTAGAAAGGTAGGTACATATGGGGTTTTGAAAAGTTTTGAAAAACGAAACAAAACCTTTTTTTTCTGCTCCAACCATTTTGAAAATCAATTGAATAATTTAGCTACTCAGAATACCATATCATGTCATATTATACTGCAACACATATTTATATACATTTAGCAATTTCTAGTTATTAAATGTTTTGATCCCTAGACACACTGTATGTCCAAATAAAACGTGGGTATAGGATATTTTGGACACTTCTTATGCACATGAAATAGCATTACATCTGGTTTGTGTCTCGTTAGTGACTATTTGACGTCTTGTACCATTGACTCATTGCAATTCATTCCAATTGCAACAAAAAATACATCAGAACAAATGGAAACTGTGACCCCGTCCATTGTCTCCTTAATTAGAGGAAAGAATGGACTGAGCTTTATGTTTTGACAGAAAATAAAATAAATATTATGCTTTTTCAATTTGAACTGACAACTAGGTATATACAGTATACAGCTGATGATTCAACAGCTTGTTGCAAGCTATATATACTCTGACAAATCAGTATTGAACTATCCTATCGCTTCCGCCTCCTCTCAGTATGCACAAAAATGTACTTGAAAAAAATCAACAGAAATCAAAGTCAAGCCGTTTCCATCATAAAATCTCAAATTATACACTTCCAAGAATTATCTGACATAATATCATAATCAAGAAATACATCTATGTCAATATTTATTATTTTAAAATTACAGCCAATTGTGTATGTGCCCACTATTAAATCTCTATTGACGAGTTTTGGGGGGAAAGCACTGGAATTTATGTGCTGATTATGGAACTGTTGATGATTTTCTTGTGTCCAAAATCTCCGAGGATTCCCCTCTTGCGAATAAAATTCGAAATGAAAAAACAAAAATGTTCACACTATTGCAATGTTGAATGTTAGTTCTGGAATAGTATTTAATATAGGCAAACTCTTCTTATTAAAAATGGCAGCTTTTTATTGTCCATAAGAAGTTGATTGATACTTGTATTTTAATCATGTGTTTGATGCCATTCCCTAAAAAAAAATGTTGGTTCATCAAGGATCATCATTATTATTAGGGCCAGAATATTTTTTCTGGAGCTGACATATCATAAAATATACTTCCTACTGAAGTTATTGAAAGATTCAGTGTAAAGAAGTCATATTTTCGCAGTGTAGGAGAATGTATTTCGACGGTGCTGTAGAAAGAAGCATCAGACTGTTAAGAAATTATACAATTAAATCGAATATTTTTGTAAAACCTGTACACTCTAAACATTTCAATACTTATATTGCACAACATTAGAGAGAATATATTTTTTGAAGATTTACCAAAAACTGTAAAATTGTAGTTGGAAATTGGACTGATGTAAATGCATTTTACTTAAAGAATAAATTAAGTATTATTTAGATTGAAATGGTCACTGTAAGGTGCTTGACTATAAATGCTTCACTATCACACAAGACATTGTTGTTGCCAAATTATCTTATTTTTAAATCCGGAATCGCATCAGTATACTAAGAGGTCATAAAAAGTTAAACATTCTTATTCTTGTGATATTCTGGTAAAGGAATTTTGATACTGTGCACTGGATTATGGACTCTTTGATCTCCACAGCGCCATTTTTGTGATCACCTAGTATGTTGACAGGAATGTTGTTGAAAATATTTGCTCTCTTTTTATGAACTAGCAGTTAGATATTTTTTTACTGTAAAAGCCATATAGCGTACTGATTTATTCACCAGTTTACCATTTTATAGTATTGAGTTTTTCTTCGCATTCCCGATTCGTAGACTCTCTGAGCAATTTCTGCCTTGAATGCAGTATTTGAACAATTTTTATAGGATATTTTTTGCGTTTTGTACTTGATCTTTATTTTACACTATTTATTGTAATATAATTGTAAAGAGATTTAGTAGAGTAGATTTACAAAATTTTCCAGATGCCATGAGAACTGTAGTTTTGACAATAATTATATTATACACTCTAATGGTTTTCAATATCCTAATAAGAAATCTATTATAAATTGAAAATGTTGAAACAAGTGAACCTCGAATAATCTTTTTAATATCGATCTGAGAATAATAAACAGCAGTTTAATATTACATGTGATGGACTCGCCTCTATTCAAAATAATTTTTATGCTGATCAAAATGCCGCCTCGAAAGTTTGGAAATCCCTAATACTTCCGAAGATATTTGAAAAAAAACTGAATACCCGCGATTTCTTTTTTATTTCTTCTGACTTAATTTGAAGTGATATGACAAAATGAGTTTCATATTATCATTGCCACTTTTTCCGCTCTACCCAATGGTATTAATAGATTTGTGATCCAGCGTTTCGTTTTCTTGTAACCATCATCAAATAAAACTGATTATGATTTTTAGGTTCGAAACGTTGAATAATTGTGAAGTGCAATATGTTGTTGGATTCAGAATTGGAATTAGATTTCTTTAGGGCCGAAACAATTCGTTCGGCTATTTGAAAAAAACAAAGTTGATGATGGTTTCTCAAAGACGAAATGTCGGACCACAAATATATCAATACAATTGGGTAGAGCGGCAAAAGTAGTAATGCTAATATGAAACTCATTTTGTCATATCACTTCAAATAAAGTCAGAAAACAATGAAAACGAAACCGCGATTATTTGATTTTTTTTCAAATATCTTCGAAAGTTTTCAGAACTTCCGAGGCGGCATTTTGATCAGCATCAAATTGTACAACTTTGCCCTAATTTAACCGACTTCGTATCTATTATGGTTACCGAGATACCAATGATACCCCTCGAATTTGGGTCACCCTGTAGATCCATCCATACCAACAAAGTGCATGTACTAGTGAATCTCTTTTTGTCATGTAGTACTCACCATTGGGTATTCGATAATTATTCATATGAACCAAACATGTTTGCTGCTATAAAAAGGATGGAAAAAAATATCCTACTGCAGAATTCTTGCAACAGTGATATTGAAAACCATCAGTTACCATCAGACTGATGTGAAATCTCCATATTTCCACCCCTTTCAAGAAGTTGAAATTATTTTTATTATTATTATCATGTGGATATTCTAGAAAAGTTACAAAAAGTGGGTACGAAAAATATCGCACAAAAGTTGTGGATTTCCAAAACTGAAAAATTCAACTTTATTGTTGTGCATGGTATTCACACTTCACAGTGGTGCATACCCTTTGAAAAACAGTCTTTTTTTTCTCCATGTGTTTAAAAGGGATATAGCAGATTTCACATCAGGCTGATAATTTATTTTATTAATCACAACTCTATCATAATATTCCTGATCCCTAGGCATTTTTCAAATTTGTATACTGTTGTACTAGTAATGACCAATTATCGAATGTAAATCACATGATATATATTTTGTAAGATAATGAATATTTTTCAGTTTAATATTTTCAGTAAAGTGCAATGAAAAATCGAGGCAATGACGTCTTAATTTTTTATTGTATAAAATTATAATCTGTAAACTTAACAAGTCAGCAAATAAAAAATATTTACATGTATGATAACAAATCATTAACTCTATAAATACCCAACAACAAAATCTAATGAATGGCGCAGTTGTATGGCCATTGGCCAGTACTTTAACAGACAATAAACAAGAATGTGCAAATGAAATTTGAAAACCCCACCCTACTATGTACAGGATAATTCTATTCATCAGCTCTGAATAGTGATTTGAAAATATCGCCTTTGGTGGACAGAGTTAGTGTGCCATATTTTTAAAGTTTGCCTTGTGAAAGAAGTTTCACGTTTCATTAGGTGGAACAAAGTGTTCAACTTCCGAACTGTGGCGAGATAAGAGATATGTTAGCTGGCTCAAAGTTTTTAAACACTGAAATTGTTTATAATGAGGGGACATTATATTCAAAATTGTCACATAAAAATTTTGAATAGTTGGTGGCATGACATGGCTTATGATTTTTCATCATTATTTGCAGACAAAAAAGTCTTACATATCTAGTCCGATCACTATACAGTTTGTGGAAGTCGGACAAATTGGATGTGGGTACTCTTCTATCCAAAGCTGTTGATTCAATACAAATAATTTATTTATTTCATATAAAATCTATCTATATAAAAATATACTATTTGAATATTTACAGCCCTAAAATGTTAACAAATTATTTCAAATTTTCAAATATTTCCTTTTCATTCCAGATCAAAATTGGAAATCTTACAATTTTTGTGGAACTTACTCAATTTGTTCACATATCTTGTAAGAAAAGAACTTTCAATAATAAACGAAATATTTTTCAATTTCTCTAGTCACCGCTCTCAAAAACGAAAAGTTTCACTGAACATGACCCATTATGTGAACTTTATTTTCGAAAAAGGTTTACTAACGATCGACAAGAGACGAGAGTTCTATTTATTTTCACCCGAATGCGACAAGAATTGAAACAGTTACATGGCGATCAATTTGCCAGCGAGTGTATAATGAATTTTTGTATATACCTCATTATTATTATTATTATCATCATTGTCATTAAAAATGTAAACGAAATTTGAATTTCATATTCAGGAGTGAGTTCTTTGTTAGCAATATTCTGGCAATTTCACCGCAGAAATCGAAATTTTTGAGATTTTCTCATAAAGGTATTCTTGTATGATTCCTATAAAATGCTCATTTCTAGACTGAATTGAATTTAAACATGAAATAACGTGCCAAAAATCATGCATGTGGAAAAATATTGACGAAACAAAAAAAGTTTTGATCAAATGATGAAATTGATTTCTTTCTTTTCTTCAAGAAAGGCAACTTGAAGAAATCTCTCTCAGTTTAATAATAATCAGGTTGCAGCGGCGGTATCCTGCGATTTGTGGATGGCATTCCACTATAAATCACAATACTGCTGCAAAACCTCGAAGGTCATGGATTCAGAGGGATTATTTTGTTGTGGTTCAGATCATATTCACTAGACCATGTGCGAAAAATGTCTTAATGAGGTGTCATCTGTCAATATGGAATAAACTGCGTTACACAGGAATCTGTTCTCCGACCTCTGTTAATTTTATTGTGACATCAATGATTTGGTAGATATTTCCATAGGTGAAAAATTTACGATTCATGCTGGTGATGAGTCAATACTTTGGCATAACGACGATGATATTACCCATAACATATCTAGTAAAATGCTTTTTTTTGCTGATGATTTGAAACTATTTCGGTGTATCGATTCAATAGCTGATTGTCAACTGCTTCAAAACGATATCAACCAAATAGATACTTGGTGCACTGCGAATAATCTAACACTCAACATTAACAATTGTCACTCAGTGACATATTCCTCGAAATTAAACATTATTGAATTTAATTACATCGACGGTATAAATCTTGAAAAAAATGATCTAACAAAAGATCTCGGTATTCATTTCTATTCTAAACTTCAATTCACACCACATATCACCAAAATCATATCGTCAGCCAACGAGAATGCTAGGTATGATATTCCGAAATTGTAAAGATTTTAAAAATGAAGATGGTTTTATAAATTTATTCAACTCCTACAGAGTATGGTTCACTGATTTGGTGCCATATATATTTGACTTATCAAGAAAACCTCGAATCTGTACAGAGATCATATTTGTATTACCTTGGTTACAAAATCGATGGGGTATATCCCGAGTAGGGTATAGATAACTCTATATTATTGAATCGATTTTCACTTCTCTCGCTGGAAGACCGAAGAAATTATTACTCGTGCATATTCATTCATAAGCTTACACATTATCTTGTCGACTGCCCAGATCTTCTGTACGCTACACTGTTTTACCACTAACCAAACCGATTTTTCAACGCCTCGACACGTGTTTTGCTAACTATGTTAGCATCTTCAGGAGAAGATTACAACTGTTTAATCTTCTCCTGAAGATGCTAACATAGTTAGCGAAACACGTGTCGAGGCGATAAAAAATCGGTTTGGTTAGTGGTAAAACAGTGTAGTGTATTATCATGCCAAAGGTTCCAGTCTTCGATATATCAGATCTTCTGTCTCAGCTTAATTTTCTGAGCAACAGAAACGAATTATGTTTTTATCTTAGAACACCAAGAACAAACACTCTTGAAAAATCTCCTGTTTATACAATGTGTAGCAATTTCAATAATGCCTGCGACAAAATCGATCTTTATTCAACAAAATTAGGCTGTTTCGAAAATTACCTTAGTAATATCTATATCCTTCAGTAATCAAACATGAAAGTTTTGTGTAAAATGTACAAAAATGAATGTATGAATATGAAATGTATTTGTCTTGCATGTCCTGTCATTGGGTGCTTCACCTGTTTGGACAATAAACGGTTTTTTTTATATACCGGGTGACACAGGGTATCGGGCCACCCCTGTAACTTCTGCATTCGTCAACGGATTTTTCTGAAATTCGATACAGCTATATAAGCAATCATTTCGGATTTGATCACATTACAATCCAATATGGCGGACTTCCGGTATTTCTGGAAATGCCAGCAACTTTGTTTTTTCAAATGAAACACCCTGTATATTTTTACATATTCGAGTTCAACAGGTCGAAACAAGTGCAATCCTCATTTCAAATGTCATTTTCTCGAAAAAATTTAAATTAAAATTGTTTTTTCATTTTACCTCGTGGATAAATGAGATGTGGTCAAGACTATTCACAATGACACACATAACAGAAGAACATATTTTTTTCTGAAAAATTATTTTTTGTGTCACTTATCCAGGAATCAATTCAGCCACATCACTTTTTGATCGAAAATTATTTTTTTTCAAATGGAACCCCTATGGGCCACCTAAACGTCTCTCTAGACCATACATTAAGGAACAAAATGACATATTATTTTTGTTTCTTCGGTGCAGTACCTAACAAATTGTATTCATTCAAAAATCAACAACTAGTTTATGAATTTCCTTGCAGTTAGAATAATTTTTCAACTAGGTAGGCTGTGGAATAAATGACATTTGACATCAAGATTGCACTTGTTTTGACCTGTTGAACTTGAATATGTAAAAATATACAGGGTGTTCCATTTGAAAAAACAAAATTGCTGGCATTTCCAGAAAAACCGGAAGTCCGCCATATTGGATTGTGATGTGATCAAATCCGAAATAGTTGCTTATATAACTGTACAGAATTTCAGAAAAATCCGTTGCCGAATGCAGAAGTTACAGGGGTGGCCCGATAACCTGTGTCACCCGGTATAATAACTAAATTACTCTACAAAATAAATTAGAAATCAATCTGAATGTCTTGGGTTATGGGATATGTTTCTTGGTGCAGGCTCACAGGTTGTATCCAATATGCCATAAATAATTGTAAATATTAAAAATAATTCATTTTATGTCAGGTTCAAATCGATTTTCCTCAAAATCTCACAATTCTCGGTTTCTGTGGTGAAATTGCAAAAATGATTACTAACAAAAATGTGAGGGCTGAAAATATCTGTTAAATACACACTTGAATAAAAATTTTCAACTTCGTCTGCTCCACTTTCATTAATTCAGCATAAACAGTAATATTCAATGTAAACTCTGATCATCTCATCCAAAAAATAAAACCTCTTCAGGTGAGTCTCTTCAAGAATGTAACTCCCTCAAAAACCAAGAAGCCATGCTTAGACTCAAGTTCCAAGTATCGCACGCTAATTATGGAACACCCTGTATGAAAAAGCATGCTGCCTCTTCCGCTTGACGTGATACCCCTGTCGCGAATCCAATAAATAAGGCGCGTACCTCCGCGCGAACGGTCGAAAAATCCACTCATACAACATGTACTACGTCTTTCGCACGAATCCAGCAGTGGGCGGAGGACGCAGGTTCGCGTTAGGCTGCATGGGCCTGGTGGGATCCACGGCGTTAGGCTGCATGTGCCTGGTGGGATCCACGGCGATAGGCTCCTCCTTGTGGAAGATGGCGTTCAGTTTGGCCGTGCGGATTGCGGTGGGAGACGACGGCGGCCGTTCGATCGTCATGGACTGTTGCGGGATTTGGCTGTCGCTGGTCACTCCCATTGAGGAGTAGATTTCCTGGAACAAGACGGGTTTGATGATTGCAATTCTACAGATTTTTTTGGGGGGGGGGGGGATTTTATCCTCTTTTCTTAGGCGAGTAGACTATTTTTTTTTAATTCTTCGGTCGATTTTAAGGCGCTGAAATCATTAATAATGCCACGGTAATTTTGAAACGACTAGAAATTTACCGCGAGTAAAAACTAACGCCACGATGTCGTAAGAAGGGGGAGGCCATATTGCATTTCTACAGATTTGTTTTGGGGCATTTTATCTCCTCGTTTCTATCATTAAAAATATGAGAACCATTTCAATACAGAGCTTTTCTTAGGCGAGTGAACTATTTTTTTCATTTCTTAAATAGAATCATAACTCAAATATCTTTCAATTTCATATTTTTTTAGAAATCTTTGGTCAATTTTAGGGTGCTAAAATCATTAATAATGCCACAGTGATTTTCAAACGGCTAGAAATTTACAGCCAGTAAAAACTGGCGCCACGCTTTCGTAAGTAGGGGCAGACCATGGCACAGTTGCCATATGTTGAAATACGATTGGGAACTTCAGAAATATTAGTTATTCAATTATTGATGAATTCTCAATTATGTGTTGGTAATATTCCTAATATAAAAATCAATTGCCTCAAAATTTTCCCTCATGTGTAGTGGCTTATTGCTTATAATGAATTTGTGTAAATAATAATAATTATATTAATTCACACTAGAGGACATTTGAACCGGTAAACGTGACAGGACGGCGCACGAATTGTGGGCGTGGTCTTGTCAGTTCTAAGAATTCATCACAATGTTGCTAAGTCTCCAATATTCACATGATATTTTGTTACGGAGTATAAAAAATATTTGGACATGTTCGAAAAAGTCAAGAATGAACTATACTATCATGGGTTCCTCCTATTATGTTTTATTCAACGACAGGACTCCTAACATCTTTTTGATAACTTGATTATGATTGGTGACTTGGCAACCTTACTTCATGAGTGGGAATGGAAGATTATCTTAACAATAACGAAACAGCATAAATCGTATCGCCAAATGGCGGCCATGACGGTACATTTGAAATGAGCTCTGAAATTCAACAATTTTGAACAACGCATAGACTCATTATTTACATAAAGAAAGCGTGAGAAGTCTTGCAAAAATTGAAATAGGTCCCTAATGACACAGTGGAGTAATTGAATGCCAATAATTCATAATCAGTCCACTCGCCCTGAACATTTGATGTCACGTATAAATTACCATGATCTAGACGTCTGAAATATTTTAGACGATGCACGTTATCGCTTCTACTAGAAAGTACAACTTTGATTCTTCAAATGGAGCACCATATATACAGGGTGTTTCAAAATTCAGTATCAAGATTCCAGTGACCTAATTGTGAGGTCAAAATAAAACTTTTTTCCTATATACATACATAAATGTGTCCGCAAACGCTTCGTTACCGATCTACAAAGCGTTAAACTTTCGATTTTTTGAATTCTATCACCGTTTTCGAAAGGTCAAGATTTGTTAGGTTTCTAATTCTCTAGGTCGTTTGGAAACTTGTGATTGAGATCACAAACTGAATATGTAGCGTTTTCTGTTTTCATTGTCCATCGGTTCCTTCCTTTTAAAAATTTTAATTCAATCTAGCAAATGAAAAAATATATTTCTTTTCTCGATAACGGTCGCAGATGCGTAAAAATTACAAGAGACAAAAAAGTTTATAAACAAGAAGAATATAACCCATTTCGTATCTCAAAATCTACCAGTGGTGCACCTCAAAAAAGTTTATGGAGCGAAAAAGGGCTTGATCCCTCAAAAAATATCTCCCAGTAGATTCTCACAATCACTCAGCATACTGTATGATCTGAACCCTGAAACGTAACCTAAGTTTCAAATTTGATCTGGATATACAGTGTGTCCACCTTAAGGACTTACCACCCCTGTAAAATTGATATTATCTGACCGATTTCAAAGAACTTTTTCTTGTTGGATAGGTATTTGAAATGTCCATCCAACAAGAGAATGATTTTACTCATGAACTGTAATCGTGGCCAACTGCGACCAACTTTATTGACCCATATTTGAGAAAGTACTATTAGGGATTTTTTTTCACAAAAAACAATGATGGATTCTGAATCACGATCAGTTGAAAAACACCATTACTGATTTTTATCATCATAAAACACAGGGTGTCCGAAAAAACGAATTTTGTTTTTTTTTAATAGGTGATCAGAAAATGTAGTATTGTGGTAATTTTGAAAAGAATTGATGACACATTATTATTGAGGATCACTTTGAACATATCTGTACCGATTTTCATCATTCAAAAATACGATGTGTATGAGAAAACAATTGAAAAGGAAAAGTAGCCAATATTTTTTCATGAACTCAAAAAAATATTAATTTGATTTTTCGAACACCCTGTGTTTAATGATGATGAAAATCGGTACAGGTGTGTTCCAAGTGATCCTGATTCATCTTTCTATTTCGAGTGAAGAATTATCAGGATGAAAAATATTGCTTACCTATCCTTTTTAATTTTTTTCTCAGACACATTGTATATTCAAAAGACGAAAATTGGTACAGGTATATTTAAAATAATCCTCAATGATAATTTGTGATTATTTCTTTCTAGAAAAACCACAGAACTACATTTGCTGATCACCTATTTGACGAAAATGATGATTCGTTTTTTCGGACACCCTGTTTTTTATGATGATGAAAATCGGTACAGGTATATTTCAAGTGGTACTGATTCAGAATCTATCATCAAGTTTCGTGGAAAAAAATCCCTAATAGTACTTTCTGGAATATGGGTCATTGAAATTTGTCGCAGTTGGCCACGATAACAGTCCAAGAATTAGATCACTCTCTCGTTGGATGGGCATTTCAAATACCTATCCAACAAAAAAAGTTTTTTTTGAAATTGGTCGGATAATAACGATTTTACAGGGGTGGTAAGTCCTTAAGGTGGACACACTGTATATAAAACTAACAGCTAGAAATGAAAAAAGAAAAAAAAATCTTGAAATTTTAACGCTTTGTAGATCGGTAACGCAGCTTTTGGGGACACATAGATTTATTTATGAAAAAAAGTCTTATTTTGATATGAAAAATAAGCTGAAATCTTGATACTGAATTTTGGAACACCCTGTGTTATATCATTTTATAATTCCTCATCATTTTGCCAACAACTTCATGTACCATTTCCCTATACCCATCTGTTGGTGGAGGATACCTTGAAGTTCCTCCCTTATTCAGTGCCTGATTTTTTTAACTTATTCATGCAGGGTGGTTATAAAATGCAGATACTTTGTCCACATGAAAAAAATGGCGAGTCAAGATTTTCAAGTGGAACACCCTGTACATTTTCACAGTTTTGAGCTTCACGTCCAACTGTAGGTTGATTATGTTCAGTCCATTATTTTTCGATATTGAACCGTTTTCCAGATAAGCTGTTTCAAACAAAAACTGACGTGTTTTTTTCAAACTATTAGAGCGCACGAAAGGAAATTCCTATAATGTTCGTGGAACATCGTGTGTACCTAGGGAGGATAGGGAGAGGAGGTAGGTGTTGGAAATTGTTGTAAATGTTTGGAGGTTATAAGTTCTTGGGAATACTTCCATGTGATAAAACGACTACTACAAAACTAGATTGAATGGATGATGATGATGACAATGACAACAGTTTTGGTATTTTTTAATAGATTTGTTTGAAACAGTTCGTCTCGAAAACGGTAGTGCTCAAAAATTTACCATTCACCAATGTTCCATTTGAAAAACTTGATTTTAACACATTTCTTCATGTGAAAAAAGTATATGCGTTTTCTAACCAACTTGTATGAGGTTAATAAAGATCTGGCTTTGGAGTGAGGATCCAAAAGTACCACTCCACTCAATTTCATTGTCTAAGCACTAGAGAGTTCATGATATTCAGCGACTATTGAAGTAGGTACATGTTTGGTAAAAAAAAACGAAATTAATTTTCATCTCCCATACACGGTGATATATAGGTATAGGGAAATAGTACATGGTTGGTGTTGTTGAGAAAGTGATGAGAAATCATGAAATAATATTCTCATACCGGGCGTTTTATTTACAATATCGACTTTCTAAGGGTAACGGCAACGCCACATCGTCTAAAATATTTTAGACATACATATCATGTTAATTTATACAAACCGTGAAATATCCAGATTCATCTGTTGCCTGGTTTACCAGACGTGTAATTAACGCTCATCATGAAAATCCCTGTATATGTGTAGTAAGAATAATTAAACAGCCATGGCCATAATGGATAACTTACCTTGAGCATTAAAAGAATTGTATCCTCAGAATCCCAGTAACAGACATGACTAGTTAATGCGAAAATATATTCGTTGATGAACTCGAAAGGGGCTTCTTGCAACACATAATCCACTCGCCTACCATTGTTCAAACTACCCAGTGGACAGTTGACTTCTTCTTGTAGAGGCTCATCGTTTTCTTCTTGCGTACTCTGCATCTGCTCGTTGAATACTTTATCGACCTCCTCTTCTAAAGTGTTCTGATCGGTTTTGTAAAAAGCAAGTTGATAAAATGAGTTCCAGGTGCTCTTCATAGAGTCGACCACTTTTTGTTTCAAATCTGCGCCTACGCGGGCCATTGTCTCTTTCAACTCTGCAAACGAACATTACTTTGATTAATTCTTTGGCAACCCTTGTCCGTCACACAAACTATAAGCCATAATGATGCGAACTCAACTGGTGATACTGTACAAATAATTGAGTTTCCTCACCTAAATGCATCCTTTTCCTCCCCTTATGATGTGGAATAAGAACGGGTTTCAGCTTTCCAATGTCGGGATGGATGAGAGATTCAATACGATATGCTATGGGGTCATAGGGATGGAAAATATTAAGGAAAGAAGGACAGGTGGGTAATTGGAACTTCTCTCCAAGAGTGTCTAAGCCTCTTATTATAACAAACATCCCTGAAACAAAATTGAAATGATTGAAAATATCCATTTTTATTTATCGAAGAAAGATGCTATGACCTAATTGTTGATATACAACTTGCATACCTATTGGAGATCCCAGAGCGAAAAATGTCTTCGGTTCGAAGTTCAAATGAGGATAATGTATTTGCGGTTGGCCAGTTCCTTTAGTGCCCATCATGTAACTGATACGTCTGCTCATTTTTCTCTTGATTGGTGTAGGTTTTGACACCACTTGCTTAGGGGGAAAAATATCGTCATGTGCATCTGAAAAAAAAAACACAGAAATACACATAATTTTATGAACACTTTATTCCCTTACCTTCTGTTTCTTGTTCCTCGTCATCCTCTTCTTCTTCACTTTTCGGAGCTTGATGACAAAGCAAATCGAAAAGAATAAGACTTCCCAAACTGTGACCACCAAGAGAAATTCCCCCACTGAATGAAGGGTTCCTTTGCTTGAACAATTCATGTACCCTATTCAATTCGTTACCCACAGTAGCCATGATATTCTGGCAATAAATGGGGCTAGTATAAAAGAGTATGTCGAGCAAGGTGTCATTCGTGAAGTCTCTCAATTTAGGAATGCTTTCTAACGTGATACCCTTCAACTGTTTATCGATGCCAGTTTCTTCGGAATGTAATTTTTCGTGCCAACTGATAGGCAGAACTTCAACTCTATTGACTTTTCCTGTGAGACAGGATTGTTTGTAGTGAGACTGTACCAGTTGAAAAGCGATATTTCGAAACTCGTCGACTATAAAAATTCTCATGAGCGTCAATGGTATTTTGATTGAATTGAGTTTCCTTACCAACTTCTTCGACAGTTCTGAGTTTGAAATCACAAACTGATCCTATCCCATGAACCATGAAGAGGATGTGATCAACTTGAGCAGGTTCACCTTCATCTATGTCGAATTCGTCCATTCCACGCTTCACTACCCTTGGTCGAGATTGATTCTAAAAGGGAAAGGATTCAACTACTTGTCAAAATTATACAGGGTGAGCCACAAGGCTTGTGAATACATACTCTCACCAAGTACAGCAGCGTATCCCGAGAATATCAAATGCTCCTTGGAAGAACATGAAGTGATTTATGGATTTCGGATGAATATTATGTTGGTCAGTATAACATTCCAACAGCTAAGATTTGCCATTATTTTTTATTAATCATGTATCATTATGTTACCTTTCAGCAAACAAATGTAGTAGACATTCAAAATAGAAAAAAATGCAAACTGGTCCTAAAAGGTTTTTGTTTCTTGTTCTTGTTGAAAAAATGTTTTACAGTTCCAACATTTTATGAACTCAGCGTTGCGCACGAATTTTTAATTTTTAATGAATTGATAGTATAATGTAAACCTTGATAATTTAAGTTGCTGATTCGTTACCTGACAATTTTCAGCAGCCATTCATGTAAACTTCCAATTTTCGTTTTTGACTTTTAGTATTCTCCGTCATTTGATATTCCTCTTAGGGATCTCAATACGTGGTCGGTGTACATACAGTTACTTCCTCATGACTCACCTTGTAACTTTAAGCACTCAACTCAGTATGAAATTGTTAGAACAGTTCTATCAAGAAGTTAATTTTTCACAATTTTGGTAATGTATAGAAGCATACAAAATAGTTGAACATTTTTCAAGAAAAAGTTTATTGTTCAACAATACTTATCCTTCACTTTTTTCTTTATAGAAATAGCAAGGGAGCCAGGATTTCAGAAAATAAGTATTGATTGTTTTCCAATAAAATAAATTCAGTCTCAGAAAATTGTAGCACGTAAGAATTGTTTATTTTATCATTTACATACTGATGAATTGGCCCAAGCATCAGGAGTCGGGGTAGTCGAAGGAGAAAAAAGAACGAAAACATCTGGTCCATGAAACACTACTATCTTGCCATCGGCCAGCTCAACTTTTCGATTCCACTGTCCCGATTCGAAAGCTTGTTTGAATTCCTGTTCCAGTCTCGCGGCCACATTTTCTTCGTAAGGCACCAGCTGACCGGTAGTGCCACCTTTGTAAAACCATGAACACCTTCTCACTTCGGTAGGGTTACCTTTCCAGTAAACGGGCGATCTTTGCCTACGAAGTATGTTCACGTCATATCTGCCACCGTCTGTAGCTATCACCTTTTCTGGGTCCAAATCGTCTTTAAAAAAATGTATCCTTTGGCAATATATACTTTTTAGACATAAGAAGAAAACTGTCAGATAACGACAATTCATGGAACTTACTTGATGTGAATGCATGGTCAAGTGCCAAAGAATCCACCATGGAAAAGGGGTACCATGTCTTTCTGCCTTCAGTTTCTTTTTGGTAAAACCAGTGATGGTATACAGGGCGGTATAGCTGATTCACTATAAGCTGAAATTAAACCCAATTAGGATTGATTGAGATGCAGCATATTTTATAATTTACAATGTGTCCCATTTCGAGCATCAATACCACAAACCCTATGTGTGATATAGTTTTCAATAGTCTGAATTAAGCCTTTCATGAGGATTCCAAAAACTCAATTATATGGTGATTTGAAAAATTGTCGCGGATGTCATAACTCAAACGTGGATCACCCTGTATATTTATGTTTCCCTTATACATGTGGCAAATTCAAAATAAAAATGACCTGCTTCAGGGGATTCCTCAGAAATTGTTAGTAAAGTATGGATAAAAATGAATTCATCCACTACTTCAGAGAGAGCATTTAATCTGACTCACTGTATATAAACCCTATATGTAATACATTTTTCAATTCAGATTTCCATGGAGATTCCAAAAATTGAATAATATATAGGGTGTTCCATTTGAGAAAATTGTTGCGGTCATCATAACTCAAACGTGGATCACAATGTATATTCAATTTTCCATTATCAATGTGGCACATTGAAAATAAAAATCGACCTGCATCAGGAGATTCCTGAGAAATTGATAGTTTAACTAAAAATTATTTTTTTCAGTACTGTAGGAAAGCACTGTATATAGATTATGTCTAAAGCGGCTAGCGACACTTTGATTTGAGACTTCCACAAGCGCATAACGTTGACCGCTCGGTGACCGTATATGAATATGTTTTGAACATGGTGGAATTATAATATGGTGTGGATACGACGCATCTTCGTATACGTCACTGCGAGTAAAACAATTGCTGCCAGTCTGAGCTCGCATTTATCAATTCGTCCGAGTCGCCGTAATCATTTTGGTGCGAGTATAGACTCGCAATGACGTTATGCGCAGAAAAGACGAATTCAAGATACGTGAGTAGCACACCATATTATATTTCCACCATGGTTTTGTACGTATATTTACCCAACATCTACGATGGCCAAGTATGAGCTGCGTGCGTGCCTATAAACGATAATAAAATAGTGCCGAGATTGTGCAACTAGAGATAATCTGGCACCGAAATCGATCAGATGTGTGTGCGCTCCTACACCTGACGATTGACCTAACAGCCAGAGACGGGCGGGGCGTGTGGGCATAACTGAGAGGCAAAGGAGAGGGAGGTTTTTGTTTTTTCCCTTTTATTTTCCTCCAGTCACACGAAACTCCACCACTGATAGCGACAGATCAACTCCCTCACCCTCTGGGTATTGTCAGCGAGACCACCTATATAAAGGGCTCAGCCCTAGGAGATAGGCCTCTGTGACCAACATTTCACATATATGCTCACATTCCTTGGCCAGCACCAGCCACCTCTATTCACGCGGAGGATCTCTATGTACAGCTGTACAATTGAAATCGAAATAAACAACTTTAATTCGTGCCTATAGATGGAAAGGTACCGGGTACGGTTCCCTACTCATCATACCCTTTTTTTGTTTATTTATGTTTAATTTTCCTTCCTCCAAAGAAATATACTGTGGATGAATTTACTGTTGTGGTCGATGATTCGCTTTTTCAATGATTTTTTCTCCGGTTCTGTATTTGATAAGTAGTAGCAAACAGAACAACTACAGCCATACATTCCTCGCATACTTTCTCTTGTTAACTTGAACACTTACTAAGGACTTACGTTAGCTTGATTCACATTATCGTTACTGGTCCCACCACTATCAACGGCATGAGGCACATCATTGAGGTTAGAATCCTGCAACAGCTCACTAGCTGGCATAGCGTCCATGACTGGACTCTGGAAACTCTTCGTTATTTCACCGACTTGCAAGGGCTGCCCGAAATGTACGGCGTGACTAGGCACAGTGGGCAAAGGCTGTGGGATGGGGTGCACCGAAGGCAAACTAGGCGGAGGAGGGGAAATCGGTTTGAAGTGGTTCGGAATCGAATGCGTGAATTGTTCGACACTAGAACTGGAAGAAATCGAGTTGGCGGGGGACACCGAGGTATTCAAGGGAACGAAATAGTTTGCCTGGTCGGGAAAGGGAGGTACCAATTGAGGTTGGGGAGGAAGATTCTGGGGTAGGTGAGGTACGTTTTGAGGTGCGTTTTGGAGAAGTGGAGGAGCTGTGTTTGATAGACCAGGAACTGGAGCGTACGTGGGTCGTTTCAGGCCGGAGCGGCGGAATACGTTAGATGGGCCTGAAAAATTACGGGAGCCTGAAGTTTACGAACAATTCCCAAACATAATCGTCACATTGGTCAAAATAAATCACGTGATACACTGGGCCGACGCCATGCTACTAGCGGACCAGAGTAAAGCTTCCTGACTAAACTCCGCCTCCATACCAAATAACACGAATCCTAACATATCACGTGTGACGGAAATGCTTCGTAAACTTTTGGCTCTTTTGAACAATTGTCTGAATTTAGTACCAGAAAGAGAAGTAGTGACGTATATAAGGCCCAGGGAGCATTTAGCCTTGAACAGACAAAATGGTTGCGTTTAAACCGCGGGTAAAACTAAAATACTCTTCCTCGAACGAATTTCAATACAGATACGCCGTTGGTATCAAGTACTCTTTTTGATTGGTGTACCCTGTACGTTAACATTTTTCAATTTTACGTATTTTTTTGAAATATTTTCAATATGCTCCGATAGTGATTTTCAACTGTTTCTGAGAAATTATTCGTTTTTTGTGGAAACTTAAAATACCAATGAATGTTAAATTTTCACTAAAGTTTGTAGAAATGATGATCTTCGGAGTGAGAATACAAAATGTATCAGACGTTTAAAAAAGACATGTTAAATTTTCACCAAAGCTTGTAAAAATGATGATCTTCGGAGTCTTGGGTGTGAGAATACAAAATGTATAAGAAGTTTAACAGTGTCATCAAAACTTTATCATTCGAGGGTTTTACAAACCTCGTCATATTCTTTGAATAAAGCGCATAGATAAAATAACACAAAAACTATAAAATATCATTGAATTCATGCTTACCAGTATTAGTGGGAGGTCTAACTTGGGCTGGTACATGAGCACTAGGTGCAAATAGAGGAACCGGCACAAGATTACTATTCTCCTGCCCAATCAAATCTTCAATCCCCGCTGGAGCACCAACAGATACTTCCTCTTTCTGGGTATGTCCAGATCCCCCAATATTCAAAATATTTGAGAAAGATGAAATAACTGACGAAAAGTGTGACGCTTGCTGCGCTGGCGTACTCAAATGGGGCTGCAGAGACGAAATGACTGGTAAGGGTTCACTTATGCTTGGTAACGGATCAAAAGGCCCTGGTGCCACTTCTTGTAGACCGGATCCGAATATATTCGATGCTAACGGTATGTCTTGTGTCTCGGCAGAATCGAAAGCAGATTTCTGTTGATTGACAAATGATGAGGAGCTGGAGTTTGGGACTATGTTACTGAGTATTTGTTCTGAAACAAGGAAAAAGAGATTGTATAGGGAGACAGATTACATGACTATCACATATACAAGGTGTTGCACTGCCAACTGTCTGACAAACTATTCTCATGGTGGACGACCGTGCCAAATACATAAGATCTTGGCTTAATATAATAGATTTTGGCAGAGACGCTGATGATGGAAAGGAATCTTCATAATTCCTAATCTAGGGTATACGGGGTGATTCCGTTTCTCATAATTAAACTTATGGAGAAAATTGACTGACTCGTTTTCAGAATCAAGATACTCATTTCCTATTTTTTTCAACTAAAGACAATGTTGATATGGATAACCCACCAACCTTTGGTGAAATTTTCTCAATTGAAACCGTGCATTCTCGTGACATTGTTCGCTGAACTTTCAGCGGTTAGCTCTGTCCAGCAGTGCCGGATTAGCCACGTAGCAAGAGTAGCAAATGCTACAGTCCCCGCGAATTGGGGGCCCTGCGATCCACCTTTTCAGATATTGAGGCAAGAGCCAGACATCAAGACGAACAAGCGAAATACAAAAGGTCTGTTCGTTTGTGTTGCTGCACTGCACTTGCTAAAGTTGATTTTGTTCCCATAGTTGTATCTGTTCTTGGCATAATGTAAACAGAGAAAGTCATAGAAAAATGTCAACTTCAGCAGGTAAAGCAAACACATACGAACAGGCCTAAAGTACGACCATTTCTGCGGCTCTACTACACTCGACGACTTTGCTGAAAATCAAAAACCTGGACAACGTTTTGAAGTTCAGGTTTTCATTGTCAATATTCATAACGTACTGTCTGCTTTTACTAAACGTATGAAAGCATAAGATTAGGTACTATAAAGTTTTTGGAATATTTCGACAGCTAAAATCTCTTACCACAAGAGCGAGATTTTGGAAAAATCCTCAATAATGGCCAGTGCTTACAAAGATGATTTGGAAACCAACCTAGGCGACGAATTAGTGCAATTCGTTGAGCTGCTGAAAACAAATATGGCTACTGTCATTCACAGCAACAAACAGGTGCCTCTGGAACTGCAATTTTAAAAACTTTCATTCAATAATTCTTTAGAATCGTGTTTCCCAAACGTAGAAATTGCCTAACGAATTAACTTGTCTCTGCTTTTGGGTGTATGATAAATTGACATTCATCATACTTGTCTCTCATGATCACTAACTGTATAGTGGTGAACGTTCTTTTCCAACATTAAAACGTATTAGAAATGAGCTAAGGAACACGATGGGCCAAGAACGTCTTAATTATCTCAATTTGATGAATATAGAGATAGAGCATGATTTGCTTGAAGAAGTCGATATTGGAAGTGTTATCTCTAAATTTGCCCATATTAAATCCAGAAAAGTTTTTGTAATAGTTTTTAATACCCTAGACTTGAGAACCTAAAAGCAAACCAAGGGCCCCTTCCTGCTGTCCAGTGTCCATTCAATATACCTATTCTAGTGATGAGTACTCATCTTATTGTCAGCTAATTTTCAATAGCAATATGCGAATTCTGGATCAATTCACGAACGAACTCTTTATGACATAAATTCTTCAATAGAACTACCCAGGCAGCATACTCTAGATTGAATACGTCATAAATATGTGTTATTCAAGTCCCCATTGGTCCATGACGTTGCCAACTGTAGTTCGACCTACAAATGACGTCATATTTTATGAGGTCGTAATGACGTTCCTATAAAATCGTACATCCTTCCGACAGACCAAATGAAAGAATCAGCCATTTTCGTTAGTTTTTCTCGTCTATTTCACTAAATTGGACATGAATATACGTTAATCAACAAGGAAGATCATAGACCATGCATGATTACCAAGGAATTTCATCAAAGGTTATCTTGTGACGAATTTCGAAAGTCATTTGCGCGACGTCAAAATTACGTCCAATAGATGACGTCATTCGGCTGTGACATTTTGCCTACGTGGCCTAGATCTTAGTATGACACCATTGAACTGAAATGATCATGGAATGAGGTTAAGAAATATATGACGCATGTTTTTGAACAAGATTCGAAAAATTCAAATGGCCAATTATTTGTTCACATTTGATAATTACATATAAGGGCTAACAGAATCCCCGTTGTTCAATTTTCATTTGGGTCGAAATATATTCACAAGTATATAGGTTCTTAATATGGCGACGTAGTTTCAAGTGAAAGTGATTTTTTTATGACGGTCATCTGTGATTATCAATAAATGAGTACAAAAACTCCCGAAAGATAAGGCTATAATCTCTGCAAGGCGTATATGCTATCCGGTTTTGTACCAAATATTTGTTTTTGTAATCGTTAACAAGAGTATAAACAAAAGCGGAACCCCATAGAAAGTATACGGTGACCCAAAAAATTAACAGCATCTCATGTGAGTTATGCATTGGTAATCCGTTTACTATTGTCCGATTTTGACAAACTTAATCCATTCATTCCGATCTGAATGTGCTGTACCTTCGAGCATATGACGAAAAAAATTAACAAAAAATCCCCAGTAAAGTATTTCAGTGTTGTAATTGACCATTTTGCCTCCACAATAATCTTTTTAAAACACACGGACTTCTACAATTCATATTTCAAGACATCCAGATAATATAAATGAAAATTACAATATTCTATTCAAAAAATCTGGAAGATAACTTTACTAGTCATTGGTTTGTATCGAGGAATGATTTCCCCAACAGAATCTCCGAATACTGATTTCGAAATCATTCTTAATTTCCACAAGCATTTGCTATGTTAGTGGATATTGCGGTATGACCTAATTTTTACTACTTTCATTGAAAATCGTTAAAACGCTGGAAAATCTGTTGATAACGCACGATCCAAATAAATCGGAGTGATTTGTCTGTTGAACAATATCCTGCCTTACCCACATATATTTGTCATCTTCAACTACAAAAGTAAAATCAATCTCTAGTAGTCTCAGTCTTATCAATGAATATGTTCCGGTTACTTTACTTTGCCTTAGTGACACGAAGTGTTCTCGCCTTTGAAAATGTTAGATTCACTGAACATCTTGAAACTCCCTCAAGTGATACAGCTGCCAGGGTTAGATTCTCTGATTCACCTGCATTTTTCGAAAGCAATGAAAACATTGAAAACTACCCAGTCAGTACCAATAATCCACGCGCAATAGTTGAAATATTCGAAACTTCACACAAGCTGCCATTTGCAAAAAGCAGTGAAAGAATCGAAAACTATCCAGCAGGTGGTGGAAGAACAGACCCGGTGAGAAGATTTCTGAAACACTACAATTCTCTGAGGCCTGTCGCAATTTTGGTCGATGACACTCAAGAAAGTCACACATCCGCGAGGAATTTCATGAAGAGTGTTTTGCAGTTAGCTACTTCTGCAAGGCATATAACATTCTTCATTTCCAAATTCAATAATACGGGTAAGAAAAATTACTGTAGGTAATCGAATCTAAATTTTTTTCAAAGGAACAGTTCATTATAATTTTCCTTGTAGAATTCATGAATAGGTATTGACTAAAAAGCAATTGAACATCTCAAGAAAAAGTTATGAGCTACGTTATAATAATAGTCATTATTGCGAGTGGTACACCTTACTTTATTTACGACGAATATTATTTGAATATTATCCTTGTGCCTTTTGCATAATATAATGCCATATATTATTCCGTCAAAAAATAATGTCGAAGGATTTCTAGTGCTTGTTCCCTCTTATCACTTACTGGAAATAGGATTACTCGAATTGGATGTTTTGCTCGATGTTTTCATATCGTTCCGAAAAACTCCTTCATTTTTAGAAAATTCACCACTATAATAAGTAAGCAGATATTCTCAACTTCATCAGTATAATCCTATAAGAGAATCTAAACAATCATTGCTTGAAAATAATATACGGAACATTATCAAATGAACAGTGATTCGTCTCAATTTTCATATAATGGTAGGTACTAAAATCTATTCTTTATTTGTTCTTTTCACCATCATACCGGGTGGTCCACTTAGGACTATATACTCGCTCGATAATTCTCAGAAGAATTATTTCACAAAAAAAAACAACGAAACACGTTTGGCGCAAAGTAGATGATAAAAACTTCAACCCTCTACTCCCCAGAGCCACCCTCTCTTTATTTTGAATAGGAAATAAGGATTTTTGATTGCGAGAAGCCGTTCTCGAGATATTCGAGTTCAAATGGAATGTTCTTAATTGTTAGTAAATGATTGTACAGAATGAATTATGGAATAGGTATTCACAACAAATGTTCAAAATGACCTTTCCAAATCCCCACACAATAATAAAGTATATATTTGCAGATTCCTGTTGCACATTTGAAGATGTTTTTGTAGTTATTGCCTTTCATTCAATCTTGATTCTTCTTTCCAAATTGTTCAGGTCGTTAGGTTTCGGATTTAATATGACCCCAAAGAATAAATCATTGGGTGCCAAGTCCGGCGAGCGTGCTGACCATTCTTTTGGTCCTCCACGACCTATCCTTTTGTTTGGGAAATTTTGGGATAGCCATTTCCTCACGGACATCGATAACGATGGTAATCCAAATCTATTGGCAGATAATACTTATTCTAAACAAGATAGTCCGCCACCTCATTTCGTATTACAGGTGAAATAATGGCTATCCCAAAATTTACCAAACAAATTGATAGGTCGTTGAGAGACAATAGAATGGCCAACAGGCTCGCCGGACTTGGCACCCAATGATTTTTATCTATGGAGGTCATTTGGAGAAGGTCGTTTCGAACATTTGTTGTGAGTACCTATTTAATCATTCATTTCGTACATTCATTTACTAACAATTAAAAAAGTACCATTCGAGCTCGAATATATCGAGAACGGCTTGTTGCAATTGAAAAAAGTTCGCAAAGATGTGTAACATGACCCTTATTTCCTATTCAAGTGACAGAGGGGGTTGCTCTACTGGGGAGTAGAGGGTTGAAGTTTGTATCAATTACTTTGCGTCAAACGGTGTCTCCTGCAAATAATAGCCGACGTTTTCACTTGTAACTTC